GGGACCGCGCAGGGAGCGAAACGAACGCACCGTTTGCGCTTAGAGAGTGTCGGCGTTTTTGGTGTTTGCACTGGTGTTGGATGGTTTGCTCGTGCTGAAGACTCAAGACTGAACGTCATTGGCTTGCCTTGCCGCACACAGATTGCCGCATCTGGGAATGTGTGTCTTGAGCAGGTGTCTTTCAGGCCGAGCGCAAGATCCTTTGGGGACATCAGTGTTGTTGCAATATCCTTTGTTTGCGCTGCGTCCTCGTCCAAAAGATCTTGATCGATTCGGGAAAAAGATGGAAAAAGTAAATGCATCGCCGTTCCCGCCACAAGCTTGTCTAGCTTGACCCTCACTGAGCACGCATTCACACTTTTTCTCCACCTCTGCATGGCAAAGGCATCCCACGGCATCCCACTCGCCGCAAGGTCCTTGTTTTCACACACCTGGCACATCACATCTCCTTGCCGCATCACATCTCTGCTATTCGTGGTGTGTATTGCTTTGTAATTCCATGAGAGTCTATGGGCCATCCACGGGTACGCCGATGGCCGCAAGGACCTCCTTGGACGTCCGGACCTCCTGGCCCCACATTGGGAGCTCGGCCCCACGAAGCAAAAAGTGGCTGGGAAGCATGACCCAGACACTCCATCTATGGAATATCTACACTGGACTCCTGAATCCCTTCCATTGTAGAGGTTATTCATTGTTTATACATGGAGTGTCAGGGTGAGGGCTCCCTTTTCCATTGATCTAACAATGAGAGCAGCACTTTTCCACGGCTTGCGCAGTGTCTTCGACACCATCCCCAGCTTCTAGGCTGGGGCACTAGTTGAGACGGTTTGCCCAACTTCATCCCAAATATCCAAATCAGGGCCCAATTCATTGATGAACACCTTTGATATCCTTTAATCCCCCAAACGTGAGCATCATCTCAGTGTGGCAAGCTCCAAATGCATTCTGCTAAGTTGATGCCAAGCGTAGACGGCATCGGAAAAATCCGCCTGCAGAACAAAAAGCACGGCCCTGATTCCAAACAGACTGTGCCCAAGTATGCGGGCAATGAACCTCACACCATTGCTCGTTGTCGAAGTCTCTGTCGAGGGTGCATGTCTAAACCCCCCTGTCTTTGCCCCATGGCGAGACTGGCACTGCCTCCATCAATTATGGATTCTGACCATGCACTGAGCCAGCCTTCCCACTTTCGGAAGGCCGGTTGAGTCTCCGGTAGAGAATGGCGAGATGGTAGAGTCTCCAAGCGACAGAACCGTGGATCCTTAACGACCTGGGCACATACCTCCGGAAAACCTGAACACGAATCTATATGACGGGAAGGACATCCTTGCCCTTCTACGTGGAAGCCAAGTATCACATGCAAATGGATCTCCTACTATCAATGCAGGAGTGACTTTCCCACCATTTAATGCACTGGATCACAGGAGCCCACCAACCAGGATTGTCGTGGGTCACAGCAGTTATGGGTGTCATAGTGAAGTCTGTGGACATGTTTGATGACGATGAGAATACCATTCTCCTTGCTCAAAGCTCTCAGCTCAGTGGTAAGTCACAGTCATGAAGCCTCAAGCGAGCATCGCTTGTGTGTTGCCGATCATGAAAAGATCCACATATCTGTGATCGTGTTGTATTATGTACCACCTGCGCTTTTGGGATTGGCTTAGGAACTGGTCACAGCCATGTCCTCAATGGTGCTCAGTGCGTCTTAAGCTTTAAGAGCACGGGTGTTCTATTGTATATATATATATTGTCCATCCATACCCAACTCTCTCCCTCTCTCATCCATACCCCTCATGAATTCCAAACCCAAATTTGAATGATGGATGATGGATCCAAATCCGGAACCCGTTTAGAAGGTGAAGGTCCAACAGTTGGTGAAGGTCCACCGGTGTCACGTGCACTGTCCAACCGCGCCTCTCACATGCCTGGGCTCGACCCCGAGGAGCAGCCTACGTTCCGCGGGACCGTGTCCTTCGTCGCAGCCGCGCGGGTCACTTCCTGAGAGGCAGCGCGAGGCAGCGGGGCTCGGTGGTTCCGACCATGGAATTGAAGGATGTGACTGTCGTCATTGGGGATTCATCATTCCAACTGGTATAGCTAGCTGTTCTTTTGAAAATGATCTCGGGTACTTGATAGCTTCACCTTGAAAATGGTTGTCCATCATATCCAAAGAGGTGCCCCTAGCTGTCTTCCTCCAAGCCAGAGGACTATCATCCAAACGCGGATTGGAAGCTGATGTTCATCTAGATCTCAATTACCCAAATTGAGATTGCTGGAATATCCTTGGCCACTGGGGTCCATGCCACTGGGCCACTGGCGAAACAGGAAGGCGAAACAGGCGTGTCTTCAACAAAACGGACACCCCCAGGTTGAAGCGTCTAAAATACTTAGACCAAACGGTGTTGTTCAAACCCGGTTGGAGATCTACAAACCCAACCTTCGGGTCCCCTATCAGGCCCTATCATGGATCTCTATGGATCTCTTCAGCTACCCTCCCAAACTGTCAGGTACCCAACCGAAGACATGGGCGGCCCATTCTCCAAGCGGAATGACCCGACTGGGTCTGCGGGCCAGCAATAAAGATGGCATCGAGCTGAGCTCGTCGAAGGCCGTCGTGTAGGCCACCTTCAAAGCATGTGTAGCACTGAGCTCGTCGTGGTTTGCTTCTCCTTTTTGTAGATCTTGACATGTTTCATCTCATGTTTCTCTTCGATGGTGTCATGCACAGAAGGTTTCTCAACAAACAAGACATTGTTCATCAGTGCTCACCTTGGTTCTCAAGGCTGCCACTGGCAATTATTTGTATCCAGCACTGTGCGGGACGAGATTTGTTTCTGAAGGCACCACGTAGTTCTTGCCACTCACTAGGAGCCATGCACTCCCAACAGATTGTTCCCATCTTTGTTTTGCGTTTCTTCGTGGAATTGTCGCTGTGATGGTTCCCCAGCCTGATCAAAATTTTTGAGGATAAACGCCAGGCAGTAGCGTTTGAGCTCCTGCGCCATGTACTGATCAGAGTGACCTTGGTGCGACCGTCTCCATGAGACCCGGCTCGGCCGTCCGGCGGCTCGACCTTCCGGCCACCGACGGAACCCTCCGAAGCAGTCGAAGCTCCAGCCGAACTGGAGGAAAAGAACAAAGCTACAGCCGTAACAAGAAGCCCGTTGCTTCATGTCTGTTCTCCAGCCCAGTAGCGGAGCAGGGCACAAACGTTGTCGATCTCTACGCTGTGCATGAGCACCTGGGACGCCAAAACGGGAGCCACTGAAAACTGCCAACTGATGCCAACTGTGTGTGTGTGTGTGTCCCTGACCGTGCAAACGAAACCCAAATGAACTCCATGAGACATGACAAGCCAAAACCGCCTGACCATAGTTCTGACGACTGGCGTTACAAATGCTATATTTGAAAGAACAGCGACAATAACAATATTAAGCAAAGTATTTATATATATATATATATCGATATTGCAGTTCCACTCTTGCTGCTGCAAACCAGAGCTGCTCTCTAGTGGAAAACAAATTAAGATATTGGCTTCTTGCTCGATGCTTGGTGGCAATATGGCTGTCCTAATTGGTGTCTTGTTGTTTTTGCAGGTGGAGGTTTTGGTGTATGATACAGGTGCGAAATCCCTCAAAGAAGTCTTTCTGGTACCAGTACGTTAGATAATAAACAAAAGGTCATCAAAATAATGAGATGTGTTCACCACTTTTACTGAGAATCTCTCGTGACAAAATGGAAGCAGGTGGTAAGCTTGCAAAATGCGTTGGAATACGGGAATGGATAGAGCACATCCTCTTCAATATTTGAGAAAAAGAGACGACTTTCCGCGGAGCCTTCCCCCCAAGGCAGGGTATCAACCACTCAAAAAACAGTGACGACATTGTCTTTTGCCTGTACAAGCCTGGCAAAACGTTTCTTGGACAGAAGCTGATCATCTGAGCCGAGTGGCATTTTCACAAACGTGCTTTAGGCCTCAGGTGCAGTACGTCATGGCCGAATCTCGAGGGAAGGAACGCCAGCCTCCGACAGCCATTGATTACAATTCTTGGGGTCATTCAAAGGCTTGCAAAAACGCTCTTAGTATCAATCTTTGCAGTCACTTTGTATTCATGTGCATTCCTACATTGGACAAGGATAACTTTGAATCCACGTCCAGAGTCCAGAGCCTCCAGAATCAGCTCCGTTCATCCTTTTTTTCTCCTCGGGCTCCCGACCATCCAAGGTGTAATGGTCCGCGAGACCGAGGACCTAAGGAGAACATCCAAACACAGCCAATGCTTTTCCTGTTGGCGCCCAGTTCCCCACCTCTGTCAGGTGCTCCGCGGATAATTCTCTTGGCGCATGGCCAGTGTAGAGCCACTCCTGCCATCGATCAATCCCAGTGGATTGGTCCAGCATGGTCCAGCGAAATCACTGGTCCAGCATGGTCCAGCTTCTACCGGGTGTTCTGCGTCTCAAACGAAGGAGGGAGGAGGGTCCAGAGTCCAGTCTTTTCCACCAGCAACACCAGCTTCCCGGAATAAAGCTGGGCGGATTCCTGTCTCATACTTGATCCCAGATTGACTCAAAGAGGGTGGACCTTTCATTGAAATAATTTGAAATATGATGATATGATATGAAATTGATATGAGATATTGATCTCAAATATTCTCAAATCAATCCCAATCATATTGGCAAACCAAAACTTAAGCTTCAATTTCTGGAGGGTCTCGTCACAGATCACCCCCCTTCTTTGGATGATCAGGGTGCCCTTCGTCCTTTTTCGCCCTTCGTCTCCCCCCCCCCCTCGTCGTCTCGATGCTCTTCGGGTCTCCCCGCCAGCATCGCTGAAAAGGCCACGTGGCTCCACTGAGGGATCTCGATTTCCGCTTCACGGCTCTCCGCGAAGCGACCTCCGGCAAACATCGCCTCGCTCTCCGGTGGACGATCAGTGAAGAGGTCTGAAGGGTCGAAAGACGCCACCCATGGATTCAGGATGGGATCGGAGGCCACAGGGGTCATTTGACCGTGTTGGCGCGCCGTGTTTGCCAGGCTTGGAGGTGTCTATGCACTTTCAGAGTCTATCCAGCACAGACGTTTCTGGCTCATCCCAACTCTTCGCCCATGGAGGCCACGCGAAGTCAGTCCGACCCGTCGTCAACTCGTCAAATCCTTCAGCTCTCTTCTCGCCAGGGGGCCCTGAAGTGTTCGCACTGTGCTATAAGGATTGCCTGAGGTCGTGACGCGTGACACGGTCACGCGGTCAGTCACGCGGTCAGTCACGACGACCCGGCGACACGGCTCGGCGACTGAAGGAGGTCGGCTACCGAACGGGATGCGGTTCTGTCCCGATGTTCGGAACGACCTACTGACGCTCGGTACGAGAAAAAGGATTTAGCAAGTTAACGTGACCGATGTTTACACCATTTGGGATGCGGAATGGACTGTAAACACAGGGTGCTCGCAAGCAAAACGAACTAAAGCAGAAAGGAAGGGCTCTCAAGTCTAGTCTAGCCGATTGAACAGTTCTTGCGCTGCAAACACAGGGTGCTGTGCACAAGCCTGTGGAGCTGCCCCCTGTTCTATCGTGCTGCCCACATAAAAACTCCTGGCGTTTGGTCTAGTGTCAAACAGTGCTTTGAGATACTTCTTTCAGATGTACAGACAGGTTGATGTTACTCACCGGAATATGATTTCAGAGCGCCTTGTGAGCGTAAATGCGTTTCCCTTCGACCACAAAAATGATGTCACTGAACTCGCCACTCCGCAGCAGCCTCAGTGATTTGGAATTTGGACAACAAAGTGGCACTGCTGCCCCGCTGGTGGCCCGTTGGTGTGCGTTCGAGGTCGTTGAAAAGAAGTGAGAGGGGGCCTCTTGATAAAGAACCATGCAAAATGATCAGAATGTATCAACATATGCGTGCTTTCATGGTAAAGTGTGGCAAGTCCTACGTACACACCTGGCAAGGTCCTGCAAAACGATGCAAAACGTTTGTCCTGAATGTCTGAGGAATGTCACACCAGAAATGTTTTGCCAGCAAGCTTGCCCATGTTTTCAATGAGCGTATGCACTGCCACATCGTTGAGGGCACTCTCCTGGCCAGGATGGTCGCAGGAAGGTCCCTTGGTCGAAACATGTGACCGGTTAGGTTAGGATGAATCATCCATGGTCAAAGAATCAAAAACATTCAAAACTTCGAAAGCAACAGATCATTGAACCATATTGAACCCAACCAGAGATGGTGCCCCTTAGCATCTACTGGCCACAGAAGATTTTCCTACCTGCTTCTGCCGCCTTCTTTGTGTTCACGCTTCGCACAAAAAATGGCATCAGTGACGTCTCGAAACTGATAGAGGAGCCCATGGATCATCATGAATAAAATATATGGCGTGCTCGCCGATTACGGGCCCGTAACGGGGCACAATACACCTTGGCTACTGGGGCTTCTTTGGCTGGTGCATGGTGGTGCTGTTAAAGTTTAGGTGATTATATTTTACAAAATAGTGTTAAACTCCAATGGTACCAAAATTACACTTTAAAAACAAAACAATGGAGCAAACAAGGGATTTAGAATGATTTATATAGATGTTCCAGTTGTTTTACAATGATGATTATTGGCAACTTGATAGAGAATACTAAAATGCTTAAGTTGACCAGAACTTATTTAATATGTATATATATATTTATATTAAGTCAACATCGCAATACACAAGTAAAAGCCATGTGGTGTGTTCAAAGGGAAGGAGCATGACCACTTTGACAATGAAGCTTGCATCTTTAATCTTCTTTTTTCTTGAAGGTGGTGACCCCAGTCACCGCATGAGTGCTTTGTGGTGTGTGGAAGCGTATGCGCAGATAGGACCTGTTGGAGGGTGTTGAGCATGCGCTTCTCATCCACCTCCTGGTCTGCTCCGCGGAAAAGCGCTCCTCCAGGCGGCCGACGTCCAGGACATGCAGATCGTTCAACCACTTGTTCCCATCGAAGCCTCCGAAGATGTAAATCCTCTTGGAACCTGCGTGTGGCGAAGCCGCTCACCGTGGGGAACTTCCTTGGGAGGGAACTGTTTAGTGAAGGGAATGAGATGAAAAGGCCAACTAACAAGCAACGGACTAGGTCATGAATTAAAGAAAAGAACATGTGGCGTGTGGTGCTTTCGCCATCCGCCGGAGTGCCACAGGACTGAAAATAGCTGGCGATTAGATCGTTTGGTGGTTGGTCGAACAAAGCTCCACATCTGGACCGTGAGTTTGCGGCTAAATAGCGGCCCTGAGAAAGGCATTCCATCTGTCGGTCCCTGCCCCTGGTCCTTCCTTTTCCCATATAGATTCTTGCTGGGGTCTTCCCAGTCTTCATACAAACCCAAATCAACTGACCATGCCATCCACCCAAATCAACCCAACTTCCTCCCGGCCTATGAGGGATGCAGAATGTCGTTGTCGCCCCGGCGGAGTATGGGGCGACTCCGTCGGCCAGGTCGGTCTCACCCACTTGGCCTTGACAGGGTCTGTGCGGCGAGCAGCACTGCGCAGCGGTCGAGGCGCCCGAGTGCCGCGGAACGTCCGGAACGTCCGGAACGTCACTCGTCCACTGTGGTGGAGCATCGATTGAAGAACATATACACTCATTGACTCGAAATGCTGAAGTCGCGACGAACTTGCGACTGCCATCTACTTTCCATTTACCTCCCTCAACGAATCAATTGACTCACATGTGCCACATCCAGATATTGTCTCGCCTCTGCTGTATCTAGGATGTAAAGTTCATTGGTGCGGCCCTTGCCATCGTAGCCACCAAAGAGGAAGATTTTGTGGCCTCAAGTCGGCGAACTCGACCACAAAATCCGCCCGACAACACATGGCTGTTGATTGAAATCGACTAAGTCCATGGGTTCGGGTGTCTCCCTATTCTAATACACACTCACATGGATGGATGATGGATGCTCAGTGGTCTCCTGCACCAAGCAAAAGTGTCAAAAATTGTCTATATACATATTATATATGTTACATGTTTGTCTACATTTATATATTATACTAATTATACTATACACTTCTCTCCCAGTCATCTATCATGTTTACGGCGAAAGGGCGACATCCCAGCTGTCACCTACTCCGGTGACTCAGCTGGAAGGGTGCTGGTCGCGGCTCCAAAACTTAGCCACACGGGGCTCATCTGTGGTGCGGTCAGGCCGCCGATGAGGTTGGCAGTGTGACCGCGCAGTCCTGACAAATTAGGTCAAATCGCCGGGCCGTCCAAAAAAAATACACCTTTAGCATCCTTTAGCTGTAAACCACACTTAACTCATTTTAACTCGGTTGCCCCATTGAGATATGTTCAGGTGACTAAAGTCGGGGGTCATGGCGGACTTGCTGGCAGCATAACTTGGATAGCGGTACAGACCTTTGAAGTCACCAGCAGTAGCCCTCACGTCAAATGTAACACCTTGAGTCCACCCCCATATCAAAGCCTAGTGATTAGTCCTCTTGCTCTCGCCTGCCCCTCAGAATAGCACCCATCGACCCTCAACACATCATGGACTTCGCCCACCGCGCAGTCTTTTGCGCCGACGCTTAATTAAAGCGTCGCGACGGTGGTGTCGTGTCCTGGTGGTGGCGTCCCTAAGATGTCCGGCTGCGACCAATGAAGCTTCTGGGTGTCGAAGATATGGAGATCCGTCAAGTGTTTGTTCCCGCTGTGACCGCCTGAGGACGACGAGCGACGCGACCGAATTGGCCAGCGATCGCCAGTTCAGGCCTGAGGGATGACCGGAAGATTAACGGACTCATTGGATCTGGATGTTTCTTTGGAGACGTGGAGGGCATTGTCTGTCAGACAGATCCAATCCGATCTCCAATTTTTTGGGAGACCTGATGCCAATTGCCAATCCCTCCATCTTCATTTTTGCAGTGAGTCTGTCTCTAAGAGCAGCACCGAACAAGTAGAGTTTCGTGCTAATCACCTGGAGGCGCTGGGCCAGTGCAGCACGAACGCGTCCATGCGGCGTAAAAACAGCTGCACAGCTTTTAAACAGGGTTAGGATGTTGTGGCACCTCAGTTTGCACAAGCTACTGTTGTGTAGCTGGCTTTGGCTTTTGGTCCGTACGATCCTGAAGCACATATCTATACAACAGATATATATATATATATTCCCGAAGGCGAAAACTGTCTCCTACGCTCCCCTCGATGGACAGCACACCCCCCTTTTCTTGGAGCGTGGCTGTGATGGTTGGATCTTCTTGTCCCCTTCAGGTCTGGTTGCCTAGTGCAGCCTGCAACATTCATAGAACAACGTTACAAGAGCCAACCTGAAGAGCTTTTTGAGCGAATCGTGCGGTGGAACTCGCACTTCTCTTTTGAGCCCCGATCGGACATGTTGGTGTCCTATCGTGAACAGAAACCTGGCCAACGCAGTCTAAATGCAAGTGGAATTGATATCTGTGCTTCCCTTTTGTAGTGGTTCGCTTTGAAGGCACTTTGACTCCACTGAGCAAAGAACGGAATGCTAAGGATCCTGAAGGAGTGGCTCACCCCGCACACGAGTATAGAGCCAAAATGAATCTTCAATAATCTTCACTCACTTACCTGAGGGTGTGGGGTCTACCAGTGCTGCATCGCCTGCGCAGGCGGATGCCATGTGCCGCCGAGTGGCCGTCATGGTATGTGCATTCCGGGCTTGCGGCAAAGTGCCGGAGAGGTTCGGCTGCATCCAAGTCATGGTTTCGAGGTCGATGATGTCCATGTCCTTGGAACCCATGAGCTTCAGCAGAGCCTAATCGAGCATCACTGAGAGAGGAGAGACCGTGAGACCATCGGTTTTGAATTGTCGAAGATCCATACCAGGTGTGGCACACTTGCATGGCCAAAAAGTGTGTTCCATCATGTTCTATCTAAGAAGGTCTGGGCATGTTCTATGAAGCCTTCCAACTCGTCTAGCATCGAACATCACAACCGCGATGTGTCCAAGTCTCGTTGAAGCACTTGGCACCATCATAGCCACCAAACATGTACCTTAGAGCGAAGCTGAATCACAAAATGTATGCTGGCTGGACCGTGCTTGTTTCATCTTATTTCATTTTGAGACTGGACAAACCGCATCTTTAAGAAATCCTCCATGTTTCTACCACGAACTAAATAGCATTTTGCGCTTTTCTCTGCCAACCAAGGGCGTCGACTTTCAAGCTCGACTCAATGGCGTGTAGATGATCTAGATGCAAACTGAGCTTCCTAACAAACTGCAATCTCCCGTTCCTCTCAGCACGTGCTGACAAATCCATCCAAACAACGTCTGCTCGCTCGCTCGCCGCCATGTCGCAACTTATGTGCTAAGCGGGTGAGCGTGTGACACGCCCGCGCCGACGGCGGAGTGCCCGATGTGGGAGCCTGGGCCGTGAGACGAGCGCGCGCGAGTGAGACGAGCGCCACCCTGAAGATGTAGAAACACAGCTTCCAAGGTCCTGAAGCTGTTGCTAGCAATCATTTTGGGGGCATGAACAGGAATGGAAGTGTTCATGCTGGCAGGCTCACAATCCAATCTTTAACACAATGCTGTGATTCTCAAGTCCGGCATCCCCAGGTGAAACGTCTGGAAATGCCTTGAAGGTGCTTTGTTGCATGTTCCTAGGTGCATCTCCCTCAAAGCTCTCAGGCTCTCGTACTATGTTTGATTCTTGTTGCTTTTCGGAACATGAAAGTTCCGCAACTCCGCCCTTGTTTCCAAGTGAGTCATGGGAGGGCTGAAAGCACTTCGTCTGAATGGAGGATCTGCTGAGTGGTCTCCAAAAGAAGCCATCAGGACGGGGGATTTTGACCCAGCATGCTTTCGTTCCGAAATGACACGGTCTCCCGAATCACTCAGAAGTGATGAGAGACCATTTCACAGGGTGTTTGCAAAATTGGGTTATGTGAAATGGTTAACGGTTATGTGATCTGTTTAGCCTCTTTTTCCCTGGCCTGTTCACTTCACTGTGCGTTCCGCACCTTGTGCCACACGAGACCTTCATGAGGGGCCGTGGGAGCCGGAGGGCTCGTCTCCTGACAGGAGAGGCTGCGACCGTGAGAATGCCAATACCAGAAAGCACGATGAAAGCATCAAGGAAAAATTGCAAACATGCAATGGGTACAATATGATACAAATTGATATATACAATATGCATTTTGTCACATTTGATTTGACCCCGGTTTCATGTTCTAAACTCTTGGCATGTGCAGTGGATGGACTATCCCCAGTGCTGCATCTTCACTCATCTTCACTGGTACACTCCAGAGGGCATTTACATGCTTTTGCCCTGGAGCCTGGACCCTCCTTAGAACTGCATTGCGACAAGCCATCCTGCACTTCTCTTCTGCCAAGAGGCTAGAATGTGCATATCTGCGACCCACTTGTTGCCGTCGTGACCACCGTGCACCACCAGCCGCGAATCCACCACCGCCTTGATGTCAGGGCCGGCGGTCATTAATTATGTCCCACGGAGGGCAAGCGGCTTAGCGTCATGTACCTATTGCTACGCCCACCTGAAAACATGATTCCACATATGATTACCTGGCAATTTGTGTGGACATCTATGGCAACCTGGTCCACAACATCGATTCCAACTGGTGAAGGATCCAGGATCCGGCCATGAGTGACTTCTGGCAGATTGTCAGATCTGAAGACAAACGAATTCGAACACATACGACTTACAAACAACACACTCACCACGCGGGGCAAGAAAAGGACAACGATATTACTCAATCCTCAGCAAAACACCCCAGCAAAAGAATCAGTTCAGCACCAACGGTCACCTTCGAAAGGTACACCGGTGCACCAGGCATACCGGTGATGCACCGGTACCGCACACCATGCGTGCACCTGACTGACTGGTGCGCACAGGCTGGAACCACTTCGTTCACCTGCTGGAACCACTAGGAGCGGCACCGTTGTGTGGTTGTTTCGAGCAGATGGAGCACTGCCAGAGGGTAGCACCTGGCGGTTTTTGAAGCAGATGAACCGGTGATTTGGGTGCGAAAAAACGGCGCTAGGATAGAGCATCTTTCATGATTCTGGCCCCTCTTGGAGATGGGATTGCCCTTGTATCTTTTTGTTGTACACATAGTTACATAGGCCTAGGCTTCGATGAGGGTCGGATACGCAAAGGCCGATCCTACTAATCGATCAAACTCCTGGGGTATTCTGTATTCTCGAGTCCCGATGATTGCTGTTATTTCGCGGATGACCCAGAGCAGGGCTTTCAACAGCTGGAAGTGTTTCCTGTGGCTCTGACATGGCACCGGACAAGTTGAGCGTCCGTTTGGCCAGAAAATTGGATGTGTAATGTCAACATAGGCTTAAGTAACCTTCCTCTATTAATCAAGCCCAGCTCGAGCCCCTAATACTAAACCAATTAAAAACCTAAATTCCACATGTCCATCATCCTAATAGAATTTCCCCTGGCAGAAACTGGTTTACTATAGTTTACTATTATTATTGTAATTACAGTATGTTATTTACTATCTTGCCCAGCATCCAATACCTTCTGGTCAGCATCCATTGTTCCGCAATCCCTAAAAACCTCTCTAGCAAACTATGTTCCTGTTCCCCTAAAAAAATCTATCGAAATCTTGACGCGTGTTCTAGCTCACGAAGGGTACCCCTCTCACAGGCCTCAGTGTTCACACAGAATCATATCAACCATCATCCATCATCTGGTCAACACCTTCGTTGGCGGGATGTGGTTTCCAAAACCTCCAATCTCAAACCTTGTTGACCTTGTCGACCTTGATGGGGGGGAGGCCGTTGATTAATCCTACGTCCAGATCATTGAAACAGGGAGACCAGCCAAAGGGGGCTTGGTCTACTTTACTTCTTCCAGAGGATCGCACTGGGGGTCTCCCTTTGGATCCTTTTGCGAATCCAAGCCCATTTGGAGATCTCCGGACCTCCGACCAAGTACCAGAGGCCACATCCAGCACGTGCAAGTCATTCAGCGCACGCTTGCCATTCCAGCCACCGAAGAGATATAGGCCTCAGTCGTCCGAGCATCACGACGCTGGAGGCGTCCGGACCCAAGTGTTGATGGCCTTCTGCAGCAGTCCATCGATGATATGCAAGGTCATCGCAGGTCCATGGCAGGTCCTATAGTCAAATGATGTCCAGCTTTCCTCGTTCATTGATGGCCCTGTTCCCTCGCTTGACCCTATCAGCAGTGTTTTTCAGGTGTTGTCCGTCTTTCCGCCCGTCGAGCACTCACACACAGGGCATCATCTAAGCACTAGACGCCCATCAATGATGTCACCTGAGAGATGATGTCATCCAGGTTCAGAGCACACCCGTGGATGTGGCCAGAAAGGACTGTGGTCACCCTTGATTGAACATCCTGGAACCAATGCAGCCATGTTGATGCAATACCTCTAATCCTCAAAGGTATTCGAGTCACAGAACTGCAGCGACCAAGTCGACTACAGCCTCTTCGACCAAGACCTCGAATCCGCGAACCCATCTTGAGAACCTCCTTCCGAGCTTCCGACAGGAATGCGCCGCGCGGGGTCCAGGGCAATTTTTGGTGTCCAGCTCTGACCTTGAGCAGCTCGCAGGTCATCATAGGTCACCATAGGTCGCACATGTCCAGAGGTCTTTCCAATGAAGGTTCTCATAATTTCTATAGGAAACTTTGGAGAGAGTCCAGTGCTTTTTGCTCGGATCCATCGCCGACATTCCGCGCCAAGTCGTCGTCGACGCCCCGGGAAAAGGCGTCTCTGAGGTGCCACACCAAAAAGTATACATTACGGTTCCGGGTGGCCTGGACCGTTCAGCTCCGTCAGACGGGTCCAGTCGGACCGTACTGGTCGGTGAGAGTGAGTGGGAAAAGCTCTGGTCTCGTTCCGAAAAATGAGATTGAGGTTGAAGATGTTGAAGCCATCGAATGAATCATGAATCATGAATCGTCAGTGCATCCCCCGAAAACGTCATGGCCAAATGGATTTAAGATGATTTAAGCGCTTACCAAGAGTTGCAGGAGGATCAGGAGGTTCCTGTGTGAATGCCAGGTGCTGATTCCATCATCTTGACCACTTCCGAGGTCCGCGCGGTCGGCCGCCCAGGCTGCAGCGGCCCACCCTCAACCCGACTTGAGCCCTGATCAGGCGCGGCGACAGAAACGAGTGACGAAGGGATGGGAAGTCCTTCCTGTGTCTTGTTGCCACGGACCTGTGACCAACGATGGGAAGTGTTCACAGTGCTTCAATATACACAGCTGGCACGAGAGTCTGTAGGAACAAGTAAGGCTATATATATAATATATAGTTAGATATGGTTAGATAAGTTATACCATTTATTCATTCATCCTGATTCCCTTGTCCCACTCAAGCGGCAGTGCGCAGGACGTTTTTTCCTTTTGCAGGGCCGTCGGGGTTGCGCCCTCGCTTCCCGCCGGCGAATTGTGCCTGCCATTGGCCAGTGGGGGTTCTGGTCCGATCCAGAATCCAGAGTGTGGATTCAGAATGGCTGAGGTGCGGAAAGGTTCGTCCAACTCAAAAAGGTTTTCTAGCTTCCAAAGAGCAGGAACCTCCAGGGCAAGGCTTCCGAGTATTTCTTCTATCAAGAACAGACTAGCTCCTCTCGTACTTCTAGATTAGATTGCATCTTGAAATCTATAACATTATTCATTGTTATTCATTATTAGTAGATATATTATAGAACCTATCGGAAAGCCAATTGCATGCCGGCATGCCGCACACAACCTTCAGAACGTCTGAACTCGGAGTCTGAACAATAAACTCGAATACCTTGGATTTGCTTCAGGAACCAGGACAAACTAAAACCATCTAAAACCTCCATGCAGCAGTTAGGACTCAAAACGATGACATCACAAAGCGCGGCATTGCAATGCATGTCCCTGTCCCTTTCCCTTTGGACTCCCGGACCACGCGCTCGCCCACGCGCCACCTCTCAGCTGACCAACTCCGCTTCGGTGACTCCTAGCGACGCCGACGGAGGGAGGTGGACCAGATGGCTGGTCCGACGGTTGGGGCGTCCCTTTCGACCCTTTCCCACCAGGGCCGCTGGAGCAATCGAAACGAGGAAAGCCATGTGACCGCCATCTGCTCGTGTAAACAGAAAAAGACCGAAAGCATGACGAAGCCACGAAGCCATGATGCCTGCAATCCCAGTTTGTTGGTGCCCGGCCTGGAGCTGGTGACTTGTGCTGCCTCAGTGGCTGACAGACTCGAACAAAGGCACAGGCGGGATTGATGAACTGACCCGTGGAATTGACAGCATGGACGGCGAATGAAGTGAGGATGTCATGAGTATTCTGCGGAACTTGCTGTGTTCCGTTCAACTGCAAACCTGCCGCTCTTCGCACTAGCCCTTTGTAAGCTGGGTTCCACACTTCTCTGCCTTCACAGTGGGGATTCAAACCAGTCAACTGCAAATCATTTAAATCGCTGACCAACACACACCACGTCACACTGGAATCTGCGCCTTCTTGCGCTTGGGCGGTGGTGGCCGCTCACAATCCGGCCTCGTTCTGTGGAAGTTCGAGAATCTCGGAGCGTTGAAGAAGATGAGATGCCAGCCGTTGGCAACCATTGTGTTTTGTGAGAAAATGCTGCCAGTAGATTTTGTGGCGTTCATTCTATCTGTCCGTCATTAACTTTTATTTTCCTTGATGATCTCAAAGCTTTCTCTCAGAGCAAAATGGTAGTGTTTTTGCCCCCTCATCCCATCATTTATGTGTGGCATTCTGGCTTGGCTTTAGAGAAGACTACATACATGCTGAGTAATTACCCGTATACCTACTCTTCAGTGAACAAGGCTCGGACGCACCGACAGAGAATGACCGTTCGGTCGACCGTTCCGGACCACTCAAATCAGCCAGAGTTCACCCGTAGATATGGGTGTCCGTGTGTATTAAAAGTCGGGTGAGTTCATGTGAGATCTCCCAAAGACCAAAGAAGGGAAATAAACCAAAACCAAACCCCAACGGTTGGGGGTCTCCCTGTTAAGATACACACCCATTATAGCAATTTGACTCGGCCCACAACCCGAAGATCAGCTGGGCACCTTCTCTAAATCTTCCAAGGCCCATGCGCATCGTAGAAGTCGGAGGGATGCTCCACATGCTCTGGATCAAACATCTCCTGGCTCTGGGTCACAACCAGGTGCAGCCGAGGCGACGTTTGAAAGTCAAGGACATTCCAAAGGTTGAGCTGTGTCGGCTGGAATTCTTCAACCAAAACTTGCAATAGTTTACCTCTGAGCGGCTGCCGGCTTCCTTGCAGCTCGTGGCAGCTCAACAAAAGCCAAAAACAAAAAGACATCAACAAACGGGTTTTTTGAGGTGCTGTCTCGAGAGCGGTGCTGTCTCGAGCACCAAAGCGGCACGGTCTCCTTCGGGAAGTTTGAGCCATATCGCTTGAGGCCCATCTCCTTCGACGTAACGAGGACATGCAGATTCGACCGTTCGAGACGCAAAGCCACGAAGGCACCGATCGAACCGGTCCTGAAGGTTGGGACGCGAACATCGATCGGCCAAGTGGTCCGGTCCAGCATGTCATGAATGTTTCTCAGGAAGATCCAGCCATCTAGTGGAAGCAGCTGCAGGAAGCTAGATTATAGAATATATAGATCAATCTTGCTCTTCCCACCTTCCACCCGCCTTCCACGCCTGGACCAGGCGTTCCAAGACGTAGGGGTTCGACCAATCACGAGAGGCCTCGCTTCCACGGATCCCGATGAGAGGTGCCAGCAATGGGTAGACCCAATTCCTGGTGTTCCTTCGACTTCCTTCGGGTCGGAACGCCTGCAAGGTCTCCCCCTTCGACATCGGATGGCCCCGGCCGGCCCCGTTCGCGGGTTCCCGGGCCGGGGCCGGCCGTGAGGCCAGCTTAGAGTAGGAGGGCGACTGGTTCATGAAGTTCAGTCGTTTGGATCGTTTTCGACCAAACTAGATCAAGTTGGAACTCTTCTATTGGAGGATGCAAGCCTGACTGGGAGCGTTTCTGGGAGCGGTTTGTCTTGAATCAAAGCAAAGTAAAGGGAAGGCTATGGACCAATGAACGCCTATGTTAGGCACGTGAAGCCTAGCCTACCGTGTGCCTTCCTTCTTCCCCCCAACCCCAAAAGACCCATCTGCATGGATTGAGGCTCCCGCAGGGGGCGGACCAATGGTGGGTCTTCGAACCTGCGACCAAAGCAGGACCAAAGTGACAGCATGGCTCGGTCGGTGTCCGTTGCGTTCATGAACGATGTTGACTGAAAGTCAAGATCGCCGAATGGTCAAACATGGTTTCAGGTACTGTCGCTCCATGAAAATCCATGAACCTTGAAATTCAGAGCAGCTCTCCATTCCCAACCAAAGTGCATCGCTACTGGGTAGCGCTGGCGCTGTCCGTTGCTGCTTTGGTTGGAGCGTTGGGTAAGCTGCATAACGGGCGCAAAACATACTGCCCATCAAAACTCCATGTACCCAATGCACATGCCAATCGGAGAGGTGCTTCATAGGCCTTTAAAGATCAGGTCGCTGGGATGACACCCAAAGCCCATGGTTCTCTTCAACTTGATGTGGAAAAAATAATTTTCTAAAAAGTTCCACTTCCAACCCTCACATCAGTTCAGGCTGAAACTCTGGCATCGCTCTCAGGCATCAGCCAGATCTGAGGGCGCGTGCGACACGCGCTTGATGGCACCTTTCCTCTCCTGAGAGTCCGAGTTTTTCTAAGGAATACCACGGGGGCAACAACACCTCCCTACCAGCGACTTGACCACATTGTAGACTCTTGATTATATAATGAGCCCCTCCATTTGAATTGAAACACATCTTCATATGGGGAGGTTATCCATCAAGAGTCTACATTATGTTGCAAAATGACCAGAAAGCGTATGCAATTGCACATTGTCTTCTTCCGCGAATAGAGTCTCCCAACCCACCACATATAACATTTGGTCTAAACACAGGTAGGTCAGGTCCTCAGGGGCACGCAGCCCGCCACGCCTTTTGGTACGTAGCCTTTAGGGCTACTACCTAGTAGAATGCCATGGGCCATAGTATATGCCAGATAGAATGCCGTGGTGGGGATAACGCTAAGTAAAGTAATTTGTGCTTTTTCCAAATGTATCTAGGAACCAAATGAATAGTGCGGGCATTTCTTCAAGGAAGCTCCCCCCGCCCCCAGGCGGAGAATCTTCCTGGAAGAAGCGTGAGCTCTCCTGCGTCCACTGCCCTTACTTAAGATTAATGAAGGAAGCACGAGTGAGGGCAATGGGTCGAAAAAAGGAAGCCTTTGGAGCAAAGGGCATCCCTACTAGGAGCAAGGACGCTACGAACGGGGCTCCTGGCCTTACTTCTAGGAGCAATAAGCTATTAGAAACAATAAATGAATTGGTAAGATTCCATTCCAACTCCAAATCCTCCCGTCACATCTTCCCATCTGTCCTCCTCTTGCGGCGGTGAACCGGAGGGCCCGGAGGGCGGCGAGGCCGAGGGGGGCGAGGCTTGCGCCTCGGTCTGGGGGAAACGAGCTCATCCACACCCCAGAGACCTACCATCTAAGCAAACAAACAGCCAATGTTCCTGGGGGGCCCAAGGTGTGCTTAAGCCTTAGGCCCGAAGGGTCTGAGTCCGAGGATACTTGTCCTTTTAGGGTGATCAAGAGGATTCTTGAGTCGATGGCGGGCGTTCACTTTGTGGTTGTCAGCTTGCCAGAGTCAACACGAGTTGGCTGCAAAAAGAGTTCATGCCTGAAAAACGCAATCATTGCAATTGCCACCAGCATTTTCTGCCCTTTGGCCATAGGGCTTGGCATGGACATTGCAAATTTGCTGCAACCAAGTGGGGTGTGCGCGTTTCCTCCAAAGACATTTCCCTGCAAATCGACCACCGCCGCAACAATTGACACGGAAAAGGGCTCGCTGAGTATAAAGCCAAGCACCCTACCCATTGGGAACAATATATATAAATATATGCACTAACCCCCACCACCAAAAGCACCACGACCCCCACCCACCTACCCCAGCAGCGGCACGCTACCACCACAGTCTGAAGAGTCCTCCACAACAAAAACAATGCCATGGGCCATCAAAAGGAAACCATCACACAACCAAAACCACACCCATGAAAAGGCAGGGACCCATTCTATAAAACCTCCGCATGAAAACAAGCACCCACCGCATGAAAAAAGGACTAAAAAAAGAACACCTGCCCACCTGGCCTGGCCGGGAAAAAAACGAACAGCCCCATTTGCTTCACTAACCCACACCCCGTGACGGTGTTTTGCCACCCCTCCCACATGCCTGAGAAGGGGCCACTGGCGCTGCCTTCTCATGGCCGTTGGTGGGAGCTGGTGCCTTGTGTCACGGTGCTCCGAAAAACCAGCAACATGCATCGCCGTCTCATCTCTTTCTGCACGAGAAACCAAGTCTTCCTTTGCAACACAAGTAATGTGGAATGTGGACTCTTGATGAATCAACCGACCCATATTTGGGGGTTTATTAATCAAGAGTCTACATTACAAAATCTTCCGTAGCTGTTCAGATCCACAGGATCTGGGATCGCCTCTGGAGCATCGTCATCGGAATCCTCCCGGCGAGGCGATCGCGGAGGAGTTTTCGGACTGCAGTGGCTCAAACGGTGAACCCAAAAAAGGCCAACGAAAGCATGGTGTGGGATGTCTACTGCAATTTTGGTGTCCGCTGCATAGGGATGCAGCCGGGATGCAGCCGGGATGAAGGTACCTCGTATCCTTGAGAAGAGTTGAGAAGGGTTGGATAGACGGTGCGGGATCTGGGTCCATCAATCCCACGCCACTACTATGACAGGTGTAGACTGTACATCATCCCTGTGGCCCCGCGGCCCCCGCGTGGTGGCACCGAACAACGCCACCGTGAAACGCACCGAGAGAAACGCGCCTCGTAGTTGACCAAGCCCAGCATGGGAACTGCTCACGGCGTCAGACCCAAAGGGCCCCTTCCATTGCCCGATGGGTGGCCTTTTTGATCAAGGTGGATGTGTCGTCAGCTTTGGATGTGTCGTTTCAAACCATCGGCTTTGAGGTCTGCTGAACCATCCAACAACGTCTGAGTGATATGTGCGTGGTTCAAGTATAAATACATTTAGCGGAACATGGGACTTCTGACTCATGAATTGCCATTTCATTCCGTATCAACAATGTCCTTAAATTCATGGCAGCAAACTGTGTTGTTCTCAGATTCATCATCTGCTTGTAAATACACATGCTGTCATAGAGACTGATACAGTACAGCTGGATCTTTGCATTGCGACGTTCAAGAGGTTCGGTGTCCAAGAACACTCTATGACCAGGCTATCAGCCCTTGCATGAAGCAAGGCATTGTCCGAGGCTGGTTACACCATTTTACACATACATCCGATCGCTAAGGTTGTATGGAGGCATCCAACAGTTCGTTACGTGAAATGAGGAGGGTCAAGCGACCCAACGAGGGTGTCGATTGGCCATGTCTAGATGTCACGCCTCTGGAAAAGGAAAAGAAACATCTAGACACGGAATATCTCTCCTGCAACGCACCACTGTACACGTAGATATCTGCAGATTCATCTTTCGTTGAAGAGAATCTTGCAGAAGAGAATCCTACATCACCCGCTAAACAGAAAATCCCAGCATGTCCAAGTGTTTAATGAACGGTAGGCCAACATTTACACAGGTGTATCACTAGGTGATACTAGGCGTATCTTATCAGCAAGATCCACCCACTCCAAGCTGCAACCAAGGCAAGATAAAGCGAGTAGGCCGAGCTCTGTGCTCCGGATGTCTTTTCTGAGCCAGAGAGTCTCCAGTCTGCTGTGAAACAGAAACAGGAACCGGTCTGCAAGCTACTGGTCTCTATCATGGAATCGACTGCCGTAATCGAATTCGGCTCTTGCCTGCTTTGGGGCCTTGCGAAACATGGTACCCTTCACTGTCGGTGGGTCAATTGAGTGGCACCCCAAGTAGAATTGGGTAAATTGAGATGGCTTCTTGTTACTAGTAGTAATGCCTTTGTTGCTAGTAGCGATGCACTTGTTACTAGTAGCTTTTTGTTACTAGGTACCCTTCACTCTTGGTTTGCTGCCTTTCTTCAATTCAACCCAGGCAGGTCCGAATCCCAGCGTCGTTCTCGCATCGTTCTCATGCTCAGTGGAGTCGTTCGCAAGACTTGCCCAGTACCTGGTTCTTTGTTTCCAGTGCGTCCTCGTTCATTGGTCTTCGCTCCAAATGGCTCGTGACTGGTGCCGAAATGCGTCCTCGTCCTGGTGGAGATGCGTCCCCAGTGGTGGACCAAAATGCATCATGAGAGGAAGATGTCTTTTCAAAGATTGGTCAAATGTGTGTCCAGGAGAACTCTCATTGGGTTTGTTAGAAGGGAGACCAAGTCAGAGGCTGAAATAACATGACATAAGGTGCTTGGAATCTAACCAATAGACCTGCAGTGCTCCGTCACCTTCCACCGCTCCGTCACACGTGGTCCGAGACGGAACTCCGTCTGCAGTCTTCAGACACAAGACTTTGGCCCAAGCGGTCACTTCAAAACATTTCAAAACAATCTGAACACCATCCAAGTACCAGCACCCTCCAACAGGTCTCCGAGTTATGGTGCCTGAAATGGAGACTTAAAAGTCGCAGGAGTAGTGACCCGTGAAGTCAGATGCTGGTAGATAATCTTTAAAAACATCTTCCATTCCATCTTCCATCCATCCAAGTCCACACCTCGCCGTCACCACAACAATCGCAACGATCGTCCGCATGCATCTTCCGCAGTTCGACGGATCTTCCGCAGGCGGCGAACGCTCCTTTTTCCGGCCACCCCGGCCTTTCAAAGCATGACGGGTGGCCCTACGCCTGCGACCTCGTCCGCCCGCAGGCCGTCGCCCCCGAAAGGAGGCTTTTGCCCGGATCCTCCGTTGAGTCGCGAAACTGTTCGGTCGAGGGCGGCCTCTTAGGCACTTCGAGCACTTGCATCGCATTTGAATTCTTTCATAATATAACAGACAACCTTCAAAATCAGTTCCACGTGCCGCTGTTTGACGACCAGTTCCGACGTGACACGTATCGAATCGCTTTGGCCCGTGTCAAAAAACTTTGGCTGTGAACCAAAATGACACAGGGCAGTTCACGGGAAAAGCGCCTGCGGGCTACACCATGAAGTTCCTGCGTGACAAGTCATATCAATGTTCGGTGGCCGGTTTTTCTGTCACCAAAAAATGGCTTGTAGGTGCGGTTGAAGACGAACCGCAAAGAAAAACCCAATTAAGAGGTATTGCGCCGTATGAATTCAATGATCAATGTCAGGTGGGCTCACAAAACCAACAAACGAATCTTCTTGGATCGTCCAGCTATGCACATCCTGCAGGCACTGACGTGTAGACCGCTGGCATCAATTGGTCTATCTTTAGGAAGCAGTGTTAGATGTTGAATGTTGAGTTCAACGACTTGGCAGTAGAAATCCAACACACTGTCCGTGAAAACCAGTGCGTCCACATGTGAAAAACAACTATATAAATCTGATTCTGTGGATTGCTGCGGGCATGGTGCACGCAGAAAGGACAGTCAACCTCAGCGCAGAAAGAACATAAGTTGAAATTGCCCTGAGTGTGATGGAAATGGATTACAGAACCAAGAATGTAACTACAGTCTAATTAATGGATTTGGGCCAGCCTCTTATTTATCCTGCAATACAATCCATTTCGACGAAATCATCCTCGCAAGCAAACAATGACTTCCTATTGCCACGCAATGGCAGGGATACATTGCCAATTCCCTAGCTTACAGCGTACCAAAGTTTGATGAGTGCAAAGCATACCATCACAAGAAGCGGAGAGCTTCCCAGACAGCGAGAGAGCTGCTAGTCATGAAGCTGCTAGTCACACTGCAGTGCTTTCCATGTCAGGTCCTGAGCACTCGAACCTTCAGCAGGCTAAATGCCTTGGAGTGTCTGCGTCAAAACCAACTGATGGCTTGGCAACAGCTAAGGTGAGCCCAACATTGGCATCATCCTGACACACACCAAAAAAAGATGCCTCTGCAGGGCTCCAGCTCAATATAATATGACCCCTCCAACTCCACATTTGACCAGCCAAGCCAATCCCAAAACCCAAAGTCACAAAAGTTCCCATGTACCCCTGCACCACTTCTTGAGAGGTGACTGTCCCAATTCGGAGTTGTTCTGCAGCTAAGCGCTCAACCCATGAGCTTTGCAATGGCCTTCTGCATCTTCACATTGACTTCCTGGGAAGGCAAGGGGGAATTTTGCTCGAACACTTCGGCATCAGAAGCCCTGTTCCCTTCGTCTTCCAACCAATCATGATTTCAGGTCATTCTCAAAACCTCCGCCCCCTTCCATGCTCCCTGATCCAAGCAGGCCAGGGCGACTGCAAATTCTGTATTGCTGGTCAGTGCACCTTGGTGTACCAACACGGCGTTCTCAATGTCCTGACCCAGCGCAAGGACGAAGGATCTGATGCTTCAAGCCATCAACGAAGATACTGTTGGGTCCTAGATCTCCCACGCATCTCTCGTTGGTGATAGTCAAACTTAAACCGATCAAACCCAAAAAACAAAATACACATGTCACATGCATAACAAAAAATGTCATATAATTGTCATATACAGTCAATGTGGGTGACCATTGGCCATTCCAAAGCAAATAGAGAACAATAAAATATAATTTGTCCAAGCCATCCGACGATCCGGATCTCCTCCACTGAAACCTTGTACTTCGCTTCAGCTTTGCCCGCGACGATCGCCTCAGACGGCGCTCTGGCGCGAGCCCAAACAAAGGATTGAAAGTCAAATGCCACTGGAAAAGCCCGAAACCCCTTACTGAGTGGATCATGCGGCTTCCAAATTCTGCAGCCAAACACCACAGTTCAAGAGCTAGAATCTATAAGCTCACAGAAGCTCTTAAGGATGACCGGGGCTCCTTCTCATCTTTGGGGCATCCAGGCATGGCCGACTTGGCGATTCCCATGACTAGACTCTTCGCGCAAAGCCCATGCTCCATCTGTCCCTTGCGCCCACGGAAAACGCGAGGCGTGCGCCGCCCACGGGCGCCGCGCCTGCGCGGCAAAGCTCACGATGCTGGCATCGCGCGAGCCCTTGTCGGACTGCGAGGCCTGGAGCACATCGAGGAGCAGATCCGGTGCCATGTCGGCGTGATCCGGTTCATTCGGTGCTGGTGGCTCTTCATCGGTGCCACCGAATGATTCCGTGGCGATTAAGGGTGGATGATTTCTTGCTTCTGAACCTGAAAAAGGGTCTGAGAGCTGCGCCAGTCTTTCGTATTCGGCCAGCATGAACTTGTGAATATCCTGGAGAGACCGCAGAAAAGCTCGACTGGTATCCAGATCATTCAGGCAAGGACTTAGTCAAACTGTGTCAAAATGGTAAAACAAAACGATTGTCATATGACTAAGTCCATACTGTATGGCATACTATATAAGTCCAAAATAATGTCATACTGTATGGATCTGTAAGGCATCAACCATCCATCACAGCCATGCGACCAAGGCTTTTTCAACGCTCCACCCAATTCCACAGGCTGCCCCGTCCAGGAGCTTGGCAGGTGTCAGGCTGGCCGAGGCCTGGGGGAGCCCCGGGCGCATCGCCCGAAGAATTCGGGCTCTAAAGAATCCGGGCCCGAAGCAATGGAAAAGGCTTTTGAGGGTTCACCTGTGCCGTTGTTCGGGTCCGACGCCTCAATTTGTGTCATGTTCTGTTCGGGGAGCCTTCCGTGATCTCCATGCCGATGAGTCATGGGAAGAAACACCAAACGTGCTTTCCACCTGGCTTTGCAAGTGGGTGGCTTGGTGCCCTCCCCCTCGCCAAAGGTGTCTCGCTCTCTGCCGCAGTCTCTGCCCATCTCTGCCCCATGGTGATTCATGTTGATTCACAATACCCCCGTGGACATGGTATCATCGTCAACCCTCTACAGTCCAGTCCACTATAGTCCACTACAGTCTACTAGAGTCTACTGCAGTCTGCAGCCTAACCTTCGCCCCCCTCCCCCGCTTCCGGAGCCACCTCAGTGACTGCTGCGGCTCCCGAAGGGGGGGCACCCATCAAGCTGGCCACCGCCTCGTGCACCGCGGGGTCGTCCTGGAGGTTCCAACGGCTGGTGACGAAAGGCCCTTGGAGGCATCACCGTTCGCATCAGCAAGCGAAGGAAATGGTTACAGAGGCCGCATCACCAAGCAGGTGCTCGAAAAACCACTGAAATCCGTTTGGATCCGTTTGGTCATGGAATCGTGAGTCTGGATTCCAACGGGCTTTGAATTTGCTCTGCCAGGCTTCCTGGACTCAAGTCTGCCATGAGAAAGGTCACAAATGGCCTCCAACATTGCCTAAAATATCCACTTTCTAAAAAGTATTTAAAAGTCAAGTGAGTGGAGAATACAATACTGGCTTGTGGTAAAAACAAACACTTGCTCTGCACCCTGCACTGCCTTCATGGGTGTTCAAAGGTGTCGAAGGTGTTGGTAGGTGGACAGGTTAGAATCTTGACAGCAAAACCAAATCCATTCTTTCTTGGGACAGAAAGAAGGTTTGATGTGTCCCCAGGCAAATCATGTGCTCCATTGACGCTCCTCATACTCAGCCAGAACTTTGTTTAACTCCACAGCAGACCTCACGACGTCGAGATGTGTGCAACACGCAACCCGCAGACCTCCCTATATTGATGGATTGCACCCTGCCAAAGAAAAGTAACAAAAACACTTGGGAACATGAAGATCAGAATTCATCCGAAGGGTCCGAAGACCCAAGATCTGCGGTCATTCTGATCCGTTCTTCGGACCTCATTGACTTCTGGTGCCCTGCCCAGTGGCGCCGAGTCAGACTCGCTCGCAGGTGCGCGAAACGGGTGTTTCTTTTGGCTTCACCTCTTTCATGAAACAACAGCAGGACATTGGAACGAAGTTGCACTCCCTCGGAAAACCGAGACCATGGCTGCCTTCTTCACAGTCCACGGACACGAGAGACGGCACTCTGTCGGCGGTATGGGAAGCGACGCTGGACTCGAGGCGCTGGACTCGAGGTCGAGCCATTCTCTCCAAGTCACATGCCATACTTCTCCAAGGGATCCGAGAGCTGGCGACATCGGGGAGGGAACGGATGGAAGGCGTTCGTTCCAGCGGCATGAATGGTTCAACATGTCGTAATTGATGCTCAAATCACCCCAGTAGGAAGTCCACCTGGGTCGACGTAGGTGTTCGGTCTTGATTCCTCTCCGAGCATCTGAGTTTCACACCTCCAACAAGTCCTTTGCGGTCGTCGATCCAAAAAGGGTACATGCCAAACCCCCAGCGATGCCCGTGCGCGGAGGAATTGAGGATAGTTTTCGGCCTCACGGACGAGGGGCGACCAGAAATTGATGGGAAGCCCCTAGGAAACCCAGACTGCGGGTTATAGAAACTGATGTTCCCCCCAACAGACCTAATGACTAATGACTAATGTGGTCCAAGGGGGTGGGATGCCTCTTGTTAGTCGAACATCGCAAAATATCGCAGGGAATGGCCCAGGGCCCAGGACATCCCTGGTCAGCAAACTGCCTCCATCTCTGCACATCGTTTGCACACCTGAGGAAGGCCTCGGGAAGGGCGTGCTGCCATCCTCTTGGGACGGGAAAAGATGAGGAGGGGCGAGGCATTTGGATCGAACCATTGGATGGCTAAAATCCTTCCAAACCTTGAAACGTTCGGCTCAGAATCCAAAAAAAATAAAAACACCAAACGATCGACGATCAAGGAAGGTCTCGGCCCTCATTCTTGTCTGTCATGCTTTCCTCATCGGCCTGCTTTCCTCCACCCAATGCGGAACAGGGTAGGGTAAGACGTTGAATGACGTTGATATCACCTGCTCAGTTCATGGTAGCCAGACCACACCGGGCGAGGGGCCACATCCGACGCCATTATTCCTTCTAAGCTGAGTTTGACCGACTGCTCCGTGATCCACACATGTGAAGAATATTGAAGAATTGGAACAGAAAGTACTGGAACAACCAGAACACTCAACAAGCATAGAAAAAAAGCCAAGCTCTTCTTAGATTTGTCTGACTTTTCTCCTTCACCGAAGAAAGCCCCAGAAAGTACAGCTTTCATCCACTTGTACCCTCCGGAAAAAAGACATAAAAAGCACAGCTGGTGCATTCGACTCATTTTCCACTCTGCATGGGCTCGCCTGCAAGGCCAAGCCCGTGGAGAAAGCGTTCTCGTTCGTCGTCGTGGGGCATTTGGACAGTTCGGATAAGAAGTCAAAGTCTGCAGTGTCTCCAGTGCTGAAATTGGATTTGGGTGTCAAATAGGGAGCCCTGGAAGAAGGAATACAAACAAAAAAGCCTTTGGGCCAGGGCGTCTTCCTATTAAAATACACACCCACTTGGAGATTTTGGCTCTCGATCCATTTCCAACCAAAAGTCGACCCCAAAAAATTACAGTACAAAAGGGTGTGCTGCTGGGTGTCTACCTGTCTCTAATACTCATTCAAGAACCAACAGAAGGGAATCGCAACCAGAAAAATGCAAACCTACATGACTCTGTCAGTTTTGATGCCCGCTTGTTATCCTATCACTTTTCCTGACCTGTAGCAAGATGAATCAGCCGTAGTTGGCCAAAGTGATGTCAACATATGTCAACCAGGTTTTGCAAGTTTCATTCATCGTTGGAAACCCGAACAGGTCATGTTAGATCACACTAGGGCGTCCATGACTGAGAAAAAAAAGGAAATAGAATTGGAAAAAGGAGTGAAAAACTCTGATTCACTGATTCAGCCCAATGTTTGGGACTCCTACTAGTAGCCTCTGACCTAGTCTTATTCTGTTGACCCACACCGACTCCTCCCAGAGTTCGTTCCACATGGCCTGCCAACGGTCGGCGCGCAGCTTTGTCGCGGCGGGGGAGGCTTCGCAGCGTGGCGGCGGCGCGCAGCGTGGACTTCTGACGGATGCGCCTGAGCGTGGACTTCTGAGAGATGCCGTCGCGCTGAGCGTCTGAGGATCTGAGCAGATAGACCGAGTTTGGGAGTTCAAGGGAGATGGGTTTGATTCCCCAAAAATGGTTGTCTGATTTTATCAGTGGACTGCTGATGGCACACCTGGCATCCTGAGGAGCGGTCCGTGCTTCAGCGCTGCGCTCCTTGATATACCTGAGGCGTTGTGCTGGAGCAGGGCTCATCAGTGCCCCAGCACCAGCCGTTAGATGGTTGAGGGATCCCCCGATACAAGGACCATCCAGAAGAATCGTTTTGTCAATGACTCATACGTGGACCCAGTGGGGGTGGACTGAATACAACAAGTGGTCAATAGTTTGTAAATGTCCTGTGAGAAGAAACCTGCACCCGAAACAGGAAACTATGGTTCTCTCAATGACACCGCCACCAATGGGCTTCAAACTAACAAACTAACTGACTAGTTTAACTGACTAACTACAACAATAACACCAGCAGCAGCAGCAGCAGCAGCAGCCACAGCCACAGCCACAGTCACAACCAAAACCGCAACCTACTACACTTACTTACCTACTTACTTCCTTCCTTGCTTACTTCCTTCCTTGCTTACTACTTCTTTCCTTCCTTCCTTCCTTCCTTCCTTCCTTCCTTCCTTCCTTCCGTCCTTCCTTGCTTGCTTGCTTGCCTGCCTGCCTGCCTGCCTGCCTGCCTGCCTGCCTGCTTACCTACCTACCTACCTACTACACCTACCTACCTACTACACCTACCTACCTAC